GAGCCCTCTTCCAGGTTACTGATTGCTGTCTTCTTATTGTATCCTCATATACTAACAATAGTGGGCCAGAGAGCACTCTGGGGTCACTTTTATAAGGGCACAAGTCTCATTTATGAGAAATCCACCATCGTGACCTAATTACTTTCCTTGTCGGTCAGATTTATGTGTCAAATTGACTAGGCTAAGGCATACCAGATTGCTGGTAAAACATTTTTTCTGGGTGTGTCTGTAAGGGTGCTTATAGAAGAGATTATCATTTAGACTAGTAGACTAAGTAGATCTATCCTCAGAAGATCTATCCTCACCAGTTTGGGTGGTCATCTTCTAATCCCTTGAGGGCCTGAATAGAACAAAAATGTGGAGGAAGGGTGAATTTGCTCTCTGCTTGAGCTGGGACAACTGTCTTCTTCAGGCCTTGGACGTTAGTGCTCTTGGTTCTTTGATCTTTGGACTTAGTCTGGGACTTAACCCATTGGCTCCCTTGGTTCTCAGCTTTCCTGGACCTCTATCTTGCAGGAGGCAGATAATGGGACGTCTCGGCCTCCATAATCATGTGAGCCAATCTCTCATAATAAGTCTCTTTACCTATATCTATATCTATGTCTATATCTACAGCTATATCTATATCTATTTATATATAAGTTTTATCAAACAACATGGTAAATGTTTAAATAAAAAAATTTATTGCAATAAAAGACAGTTTGCCATTAATCCCCCTCAAAATATTCCCCCTCACTTTGAACATGCTCATCCCATCATTCTTGCCACTTTCTGAAGCAGTTCTGGAAGTCCTCTTTCATAAGTGTTTTTAGTTGCACTGTCATGGCTGCCTCGATGTCCTGAATCATTTTGACTTTGGGGAAGAGTCAGAAGTCACATGGTGCCAGATCCGGTGAATAAGGCGGATGAGGACACACTGTAATGTTTTTGACAGAAATTGACATATACCAGAAGCGATGTGTGACATGGAGCGTTGCCATGATGGAGGATAATTTACGGCACACTTGAAAACAGACCTTCTCTCAACCATGGCTCTCGTCCAACTGACTGCACTGAACAAGTTGAAACTTGTCACACACTGTTACTAAGGTTGGACGCTCCACTTCGTGTATTGAAGATCCCTGCCTTTCTGTTGGATGGCACTCAGCAGCAGCATTCATCATATTTTGTGATCATAACGGGAAGGCTTGGTGTCACACATAGCTTCTGGTACCACAATTTCTGTCAAATAAAAACACTGTGGGTGACTACATCCACCTTATTCACCAGATCTGACACCATGTGACTTCTGGCTTCTCCCCAAAGTTAAAATGACTCATGACTTTGAGGCAGCCATGGCAGCACAACTAAAGATACTCATGAAAGAGGACTTCCAGAACTGCTTCAGAAAGTGGCAAGAATGATGGGATAAGTGTGTTCAAAGTGAGGGGAAGTATTTTGAGGGGGATTAATGGCAATGTATCTTTAACTGTAATAAATTTTTTTTAATTGAAATATTCACCTTATGTTTTTATCACATCTTGTGTGTGTGTGTGTGTGTGTGTGTGTGTGTCCTATTAGTTCCATTTCTTGTGAGATCCTTGACTAATAACACCTCCCAAGGGCCCAACCTCCTAATACCATCACATTAGAAGTTAAGTCTTCAGCATATGAATTTGGGGGCAACACAAACATTCAGTCCATTGTACTCAGTTTAACTGTTTCCCTGTTGAGAGACATCTTGGCTATTTCCAGTTTGGGTAATTATGAACAAAGCTGCTATAAACATTTGCACATAAGCTTTTCCATGAACATAAATTTTTAATTTACTTGGGTAAATACTTAGGAATGTGATTGGTAGGTCAGATGGTAAATCTATGTTTAACTTCATAAAAATCTACCACCTGTCTTCCAAAGTAGCTGTACTGTTTTACATTCCCACCAGCAATATGAATTATAAATGAGCCTCTTTGGGGATTTGATATTGCAGTATTTGATATTGACAGATTTTAAAAAAATTTTAGCCATTCAAATAGGTGCTAAATTGTCTTTTAATACTTATTATTATAGATAAATAGTCCTATGTTAAGTATAAGTAACTTATTTTTATTGTTTCATGATTAAAACTTGCAAAATTTTCTTCTTAAACTAGAAAATTTTAATTTTTACCTATTGTGTGCCCTTCCACTGCCATTGTCTTTCTGATAGAAATACTCACATTAGATCTGAAAAATTTTGTTCTTATATGATTGAAGTTTGCTTTTCTTCCACCTACACTACTCTGCTTTGTGAGACCTCTATTTTGTAGAATTTGGATCATTCATTTCTCTTCTTCATATATTTTTATTTTTGTGATGGCTGGCATTTTTAATTTTTTTGCTTTATGCTTTATGAAAAGCTTTCAAGGAATTCCCTAAATTACAATTTTTTTCTATCATCAATGTTTCCTGATTAATTTGGGTTTATATTGCAGATTTTGTTTGTTTGTTTGTTTGTTTCTTTGCTTCACAATGGTTTCTTTTACATAGAAACTTCACTTATTCATATATTTTTATGAAGTAAATATAATTAATTAGACATCAGTTAATTTCAAATTAATTTTTAAAAATTAATTAAGGCATTCGTTTTTTTAATTATTTAATTTATTGGGTGACACTGGTTAGTAAAATTATAGATTTCATGTGTACATTTCTAATATATGTCATCCATATATTGTGCTGTGTTCACCCTCATCTTTTGTTTTGTATGAGAGGCCATTGGTTCTGAATGTTTAGTCCCTTTCTCATGCTCTTTGACTTGTTCATTCTCTTCATTACCTTTGATAATTTGGGGTTATTTTTTCATGTTTGGGAATGGAGGTCAGTTATATCAGGATTAGTAGCTGATATAGCTTTCCTTATAATATTTTCAGAATACTGCTTAGTTTCCGTTTGTAGAGCTTCCTGGAACAAGTCAGTTGCCTGCAGTGTTTTATGGCAGAAGGTTAGAGGAGGGTGAATTTTCCTTGAAGAAGATGGATGAATCTATGTCAATGAACAATTGGGGCTTTGTAAGAGCAAGGTGGTTGGCCTGGGGATACTGTAAGATTGAAACTGAAAATTCACTTATTTTATTGTTTATGCCAAATAAAGACCCTAAGAGAAAAAAATGGTAATGTCTGGTCCTGAAAGCCATTATGTTTGCTTCTCACGACTGATTTCCAATTGATGCAGTCTCAACCTCTGGTGGTCAAGTCTTAAAAGTAGTTTTATCTAGTTAGATGTTTTATAAGTAATTACAAGTATAAAGACTGGCCAAAAGTATTGTATTATTTTCCTAGGGCTGCCTCAACAAATGAACACAAACTGGGAAGCTCAAAACAATGGAAATTTATTCTCTCACAATTCTGGAGGATACAAATCAGAAATTAAGGTGTTTGTGGGGGGGCAGGCTGAGTGGCTCAGTTGGTTAAAAGCTCACTCAAGAGTGCGAGCTCTGAGCAACAGGGTCGCCAGTTTGATTCACAGCCTGAGCTGAGCTGCCAACAGGTGGCAGGATGGCTCAGCTAAAAACAAAACAAACAAAAAAAAGGAATGAAATTAAGGTGTTGGTAAGATTGGTTCCTTCTGGAAGCTCTGAGGGAGAACCTGCTCTATGTTTGTCTCCTAGTTCCTGGTGATTTCCAGCAATGTCGGCCTCCATCTTTACATGGTGTAGTTCCCTGTGTGTCTGTGTCCAAACATCCTTTTTCTTATAAGGATACCAGTCTTACTGGATTTAGAGTACACCCTAATACAGTATAACCTCGTTTACTTTGACTACATCTGTAAACACTTTCTCTTCAAATAACCTCACACTCACATGTTCCAAGTAAACATGATTTCTGAAGAGATACTACTCAACCTAATGAAAGTGTCAGGGGAATAATTTAACTGTTGTGCTAAGCTGTTTCCCCAACTCGCATGTTTCCAGTGGACAGAAGTTTGCTGGACACTCCTGGCCTTTTCTCATTGACACTTAACATATGAGGAGCACAATTCAACAAGTCCTTCATTTTACTTATGGCAGTTTAATCAAATAAAGCCTGAGAAAAGCCAGGTAGAAAGGACTGTGTAGTTCACAAACTGAACTTGAATCTGCCTTCCTGCAAACTGCCCGATTCTCTCTTGTTTCTATGCCCTACAACTCTGAGATGGGAAAGAGAGGCTGAGGGGGTGAGGGGTGGGAGGGAACATCTCCTTTTTGCTTTGGTTGAATGCTTGGCACACTCATTTGTGGATCTGTAGGATTTGCTTAATATGGTACAAAAATCTGTAAAGTTTTTATTCCATCATTGGTATTTTCTCGTTTTCCTGCACTACAGATATTTTCTTACTTTCTTATTTTTCTTTGTATTTCTTTGGTCATGTTAATGAGCCTTTATGTGCAGCAGGAAAATAAATTCTCAGGCATAGTTAGCCATCTTCATAGACATTGGAGACAGTTTCTTACATCTCTTACAGGGTTTCTAATCTTGTGACTGCATGTGTCAGGCATTCAATATGTGTTTTTTAATGAATTTTTCATTATAGACATTAAATATATGTAAGTCAATGAAAAAGAATTTTGGAGAGTAAGAAACCTTTCTTATATCTTTGAAATCACATGGCACTCCAAATGTAAGATTAAGACAGATGGAAAAGACTGGTGAGAAGTATAAATATATATTGAACACTATTGTGATATATGAAAAGACTTTTTCAAAAGTCATTTAGTCTTCACAACAATTCTGAGACCATAATTTCTCTAATTTTATAAATAAGGAAGCAGAATTACAGAGGTTAAGTAAGTTGTTCAATAGCTACTAAGTGATAAAACCATGATTCAAACTCAGGTCTTCCTGAATCAAAATCTGCATCTCCCTATTACATCTTCTGATTATTCCTGTGGGGTAATGTCAGTTCTCCCAGGACCAAGAAATTTCACTGTCCCTTACATACTCTTGGGAAATATTTCTCATCTTACCCCATATGTATTTACAGTCTTATCAATTATTCCTGCAGAACCTGACAATGCTGATATTATAACTCAGAAGCTCTCTTCATTCAGCTATTCTGTGAGACCCCCATGGTAAAATCAAGGCAAACTTGCTCAGAGGCAGAGGAGCACTGACCACACGACATGGAATGAGGACACGGGTAACTTCTATGCTTGTCCTTCCCCAGCTGGATCTTATCCATCAGCTTGCTCACAATTCCCAGCCAGATTGTCTCCTTGTTTTAAATAACTATTTGTTGAGTGCTTAATGTGTTCCAGGAATTGTTTTTTGCGGGCTCTGGAAATTTTAGGGAAACACGTGTCAAATCAGGAACAAGTCATTCTGCTCTTGACGAAAGGCAAGGTAGTTTTGTCAATAAGCTCAATAGCAGTGATTGGCGTCCCTGTGTCAATTGACCCACTCCACAATGCTGAGAAAGAAAAGGGACATGAAGATTTAAATAAGATGGTGATAAGGGGTTACAGAGTAAAATAAAAATTTATATATATATATATATATATATATATACCTTGTTCACTTGAGCTCGAAGCTGGTGACTTTCAATCAAGTGATGAAGTTTGTTGGCGATTTCCATCCAAGGCCGGTAATGATCTGGAAGTTCTTTCTGCATTCAAAGTATAAACATTTCATTATTTTAGACCTCTCTGGGGAGCAGCTTCGGGGAGTAGCTGCTTTCAGTTTCAGTCTTATGATAGAATTTAGGCCAATTCAGTTGAACAAATATTGAGATTTCACTATACACTGGGCTCTGTGCTAAGCACTACAAATACACAGATGACTAACATAACAGTCCTTGTGCTTAAGGAACATATGGTCTACTACGAGAGAAAAACATAATCAGATATATCCCCAAATAAAGTGTTCAATTACTGATGTGCGTATAAGCTTAAGAACTTGCAAAGAGGAAGAAGTTGTTAATTCTATCAGCTGTTTTGGGGAATTAAAGGATCGTATTTATAGAAATATGATAGTTGGGGCCAGGTTTAGAATCTGAAATTAACTTTTCCAGGTAGAAATTTGAAGATGGGAAGGCAGTAAAACAGAGGGGCTAGTGGATAAACAGAGATAACTGTGCTTCTTGGGACTACACATAACTCAGTGTTACTAGAAATATAAAGCTCAAGAGAAAGGATGATGGAAGATGATACTAGAAAATCAGTTCAAATGTGCTTTTTATAGACTACATAAGAATTTTCTCTTTATGTAAGTTGGCCCTACTATTTTATTTGAATTTAAGGAAGTTAATTTTGTTTGTAGGATTTTAAGACATTCAGTTAGATTAAAAAGCCTTTGAAATACTGTTCAAGGACTAAACTCAGATAATGACAATGAATTTGGAAAGGAGAAGGCATGTATTGAAAAAATATTTTGAAAGTAAAATTTAAATGATGTAATGATTAAATTTAGAGGTAGAGGCACTAAAGGCAAAATTATTCCTACCCAATAGCACCCTTTGTGTGCCCACACTGGGCCCATGGTTTAGCCAAGTGAACATAGCATGGATTTCAGTAACACTGACACTATCCCAAGAAGTGGCAAACTACACCTATTGCTGTAACAACTATGCTCATTTATTTACATTACTGCAACAGAACTGAGTAGTTGCAACAGAATCTATACGGTATATAAAGCTTAAAATATTTACTATTTGGCTCTTTAAAGAGAAATGTTGCCAACTCCTGACCTATACTATGTTCTGGGCCTCAGTTTTCAGAGTACAATCTGTACAGCTGAATGTCGTGTCTCTGAGTTAAGAAATAGAGGAGATGAGAATGATTTCCATGTTTATGAATTAGATGACTGAATGAATTGGTGAGAGCACAAATTGAAACAGAAATGCTGGTGGAAGTCAAAGAAAGGGCATAAAGATAGTGAATTTCTTTTTAGATATACACAGCCTAAAATATCTGTGGACTGTTAAAATATGACTATACACTGGGCAGTTGAGTGTACAGTTTGAAGTTCAGGAAAGCATTAATATTGAAAATATACAACTGGGAAGCATAACTGTAGAAGTTATGTGTCTTGTGGTTAAAACCACAAGATCGTCAGAAGTCATTTTGGAGAAGCTGCAAAGTGAAAGGAGAAGATCAACACAGATACTGGAAATTATTTACAAGGCAGACAGAGGAACTGATTCAAGCAATACAGCTCAAAAAGACATTGAAAGAGTTTCAATGAGTCAGAAGAGAATTATCTTTCAGAAGACATTAGGGGCTTTCACAAAGTAGGGACTCATCAGAAAGTCAAATGTATCATTAGAAAATAAAATAAAATGGTCCCCGTTGAAAAGAAAACAAAAAGTAGGAAGTCACTAACACATATTAACCTTTCACTTCGTATGGTATAGAATTTTAGGTCAGATTCCTGGAAGCAGGGTTCAAATTTTAGGGTGCTGAGGAAGTTAAGAAAATAGAGACCAAAAATGTAAATTACTTCTTCAGGAGAGCCCTAAACCATTAGTAAAGGAGAAATTTGTGTTTCAAAGCTATCTCCATTCAAGAATGAGAAACTGAAGCTATTTATAGTTTGATACTGTAAGAGGGAGAGATTAAAAAGCAGAGTTGAGAATGCTAATAAGAAGAAAGACAGATTTATGATAAACTGACTCTGAACTGGCAACTTGGATTTTTGTCTCATCTATATGAGGCATACATGTGTTTTATGAACAAAAATTGAATGCCATTACAGAGACAATGGCATATAATCTTCATCAAAGAAAATCAAAGATGTAAAGTCATAATATTCAGAAGGTCTTTTAAAGTGGGTTTGAAGAATTTATAACTAAATCATCACCTCTGTTCTTCCTGTTTTGATGCCTAGATAAGGAATCCTATCCTAAGAATTACATTCTGCTGGATTTCTGCTTCCTGACTTACATGGAAATTCTTAAATACTACATTTTGCCTCAGTCTAGGCCACACTCTAGTCTTTAATGCTTACTTTTTTATTTCCACTTAGATTGCCAGAGAAATCTTTTTTTTTTTTAAAGATTTTATTGGGAAATTGGGGGAAGGGAACAGCACTGGGGAATCCGGGGAAGGGGAACAGACAAGTTGCTGTCCCTCTGTTCTTCAGTTTAGTTGTGGAGGACGTCACTTCACTGGTTCATGTTGGTATTATCATTGCGCTCTTCCTGAGTGAGGCAGATCGGTCGCCAGCTGGCGGCTGCTCATGCTGGCTGCCGGCCACACATGGTAGCTTATGGCAGCCCACTGCAGCAGAGGCTGCAGCCTACACCGTGGCCAGCGACTCACGGCAGCCCAGCTCCAGATCAAGCTGTTATTCACCATCTTAGCTGTAGGGGGCAGAGTCACTGGCCCTCATGTGTGATCCGAACTGGGGCCCTGCTGCTCAGAGCTGGCATCCCAAGCCAGCTCTTAACCAAAGAGCCACTCAGCTAACCCCAGGAGAAATCTTTCTTGTTCTTTCTCTTTTTCATCTTCTCCCTTCTTTAAAAAGTTCTAATGTTTTTACTTCTGTATCACATCACAACACAAGAAAACCATGAACTGTGAGATCCTCTGGGCTCCAAATATGGTCCCCAGTTCAGCAACTTCATCATTGCTTGGGAACTTGTTAGAAATGCAAATTCTGGTGCCCTCCCACAGACCTGCTGAACCAGAAACTCTGCAGGAAGCCCAGCAGCATGTGTTTTAGCAAGCCCTATAGGTGAAGCTGATGTACCCAAAAGTTTGAAAACCACTAATGTGGGAACCTTGAAAGTGATCAAGAAGGCGGGGTGGGAGGGTGGAGGGTGGGGGTTGGGGGAAAAGAGTTAAAGATATTTTGCAATTCATTAAAAATGAAAAAGGAAGACCTTTTGGCTTTTCCTCTAGAGCAGTGGGTCTCATCCTTCCTAATGCTGTGACCCCTTAATACAGTTCCTCATGTTGTGGTGACCCCCAACCATAAAATTATTTTCGTTGCTACTCTATAACTGTAATTT